CAGGTTACAGACCAGACTGTAAGTATTGCGTTTTTCTGGTTGTCCAAAATACAATCTCATAACTTCACTTCATGCAGTAAGTCTGAAAGCTGGCATATAAGTTTCAGGAAGGCCAAGAGAAATGGGGAGAAAATACCTAAACTTGTAAAGTGATGGCCAGCTATCCCATGCTGAAACCTCATGACAACCTTCCCCCCTCCCGCCCTCCGGTTGGTCTGAGTGCAGGTTTGGCTATTTGTTACCAGATACCAGAAACGGAATCAAACCTGAACTTTGTATTGTTTGACTTTGACACTAAAAGGCATTTGTTTTGATGCTGCGTTACACTTGCCTTGTTTTCAAACTGAAAATCCCTACTGAGTTGCAGTGCATCATGAGACTACCTCATAAGCAGGTTTTCAATAATTACTTTGTTCTTAAAATACATTCTTTAACACTTTAATTGTACTACTAACTGATGGGGATGGTATAGATTCTAACCTCTGTCATCAATTTACGGTTCTGATTCTTAAAGAAGCATGCTAAGTACCTTGAAAGCAAGATGATGTATTTCTTAGGTATTACTCTTAAATAGCTGAAGCATGTGTTGAATACAAACTGTAGTTAAAAGCTATTTACACCACTCAAGTATAAAAAGAATTGTATTTTGTTACAGATATAGGCTTTGAAATTCCAGATAAATTTGTGGTTGGATATGCTCTTGATTATAATGAATACTTCAGAGATCTAAATGTAAGTACATACATGTGTGCCTCAACTGTTACCTGTGGTAACAGTTGTATATGTAACCAGCAAGAATATTAGCTTGTACTAGAAGCTTCTCAACAATTAACAAAACTTCAAATCTGACTAGAAACTTCCATTAAAAGGGCAAAAACATTATTAACGTGCCAAGCTGATAATTCAATGCAAATGCATAAGAACTTGTTTATGCCCTACCTTTTTATGAATCTACTTCACAAGTCTCGTGGCCCAGCCATGCGGTACAGTATTCTCAGTCCTCCAGGATGGCTGGCAGCATACAAGCTGCTGGCCCCATCTGAAAAGAAAGTAACTTCTAATTTTGCTTTGATTTCATATTTGTCTGTCTTACTGAAATCCTATGTTGCTCTTTTCTAGCCAAGTCTTTAAGATGGCTGTGTGGGGACTGTGTGTGTGAAGGTTTTTCCTACACTATAACATGTTCATCAAGATCTTTTTTTTCTTTGTTCCATTATAGTCTCCTTAGGCTGCACTGAGTAGTAGACTTGGAAAGAGCATATGATAGAAAGAGCTGATCTTTTTTTTTTCCCTCAGTTTTCAAAAGCACCTTCTTAAATCTGGTTAAGTGGAAAAGTTTTTCCCTTGAAAGTCTTTTTAGTAAGACAAAACAGTTCTGTTAAAGACACATAATGGATCTATGCAAAGCAACGTGAAGAAGGATACAATAATTGAACAAACCTGACCTCTTCAGAATATACAAATCTATAAATTACAAATGAGCTTGGAAGCAATATTAACATCTAAATTTTACTGCAAGTAGTAAACTTGCAGCCAAACTAGCAAAGATTACTGTTCTGCTGTGTCTTCCTTACAATGCTAGGAATACGACTGAAAATCATTCTTGCATTTTCTTTGAGGGTAAAGATTAACTAAAGTTTTACTTTTTTTTTTAGCACATCTGCATTCTGAAAGAGAAAGCGAAAGAGAAATATAGGATCTGATAACCTCAGTCTTCTGGAGCAACAGTTCAGTGGCATGTACAGCTGTGTAGATGAATAATAAGTAATCTACTAATTGTGCTCTTCACTGAAGAACTACATTTTCTAAAGATACTATTCTATATATTTTTCCTATAATGATTATGTAGAACAGCTTAAAGGTAAGCAAGTCCTGTTCAAGATTCAGTGAAACCTGAACAGAACACTGGCCACAAAATGGGTATTATATTCTGCTGGAATCACAGGGGACAGAGTGGACATGTACATGTGTATGTAATTATGTTTGGGTTTTATTTACTATATTGTCCTGGTTTTGGCTGGGATAGAGTTAATTTTCTTCCTAGTAGCTGGCATAGTGCTGTGTTTTGGATTTAGCATGAGAATAATGTGGTAACACAATGATGTTTTAGTATAAACACTGCTTAGCAACAACTAAGTCAAGGACTTTTCAGCTTCCCATGCTCTGCCAGTGAGGAGGTGCACAAGAGCTGGGAGGGAGCACAGCCAGGACAGCTGACCCCAACTGGCCAAAGGGATATTCCATACTTTTTGACGTCATGCTTGGTATATGGGCTGGGGGGAGTTGGCTGGGAGGCAGCAATTGCTGCTTGGGGAGAGGCTGGATGTTGGTTGGTGGGTGGTTGCATCACTTGTTTTTCCTGGGTTTTGTTCTTCTCTCTATCGTTGTTTTACTTTTCATTAAAATTTATTATTTTATTTCAATTTTTAAACTGAAAATGCATGAGTTTTCTTACTCTTTCTCTTCTGATTCTCACCCTCATCCCACGGTAGGGGGAGGGTGAGTGGCTGTGTGGTGCCTGGCTGCTCTCTGGGATTGAACCACAAAGTAACACATTGTGTGTGTATATAAACTGCAGTCACTTTTATATGTGAGCTTGCGTGTGTAAATATATACACGCGTACTTCATGTAACAAATAGGCTGAATAAGCATTTAAGGAGCAATTTAAGTCAACTGTACAAAGTGCATACCACGTGGAAAACACATTTGGTTCTTTAGCTTAATGCAATGAAAAAAGTAAACATTAAGGTAACTACACTGAGATTAGTTCTTATACATTCCATGTAACCTGGGGTGCTGTGTCTTGTTTTTTGAGGGAAGAGGTCACATGTTGGTTGTACCATTGAGGTGTTACTTGAAATGCAGGCGACACCGATTACTAGCTGTTAAGACTGGATGATAAACCATTACAGCAGGAAATTACTTCTGCTAGTCATGTCCCTAACGAGAACTGGAAGTTAAATTTTACTGCCCAGAAACTGCACCAAGCTTGAGCCAGTCTCTGACACCTCACTGCTTCCTACCTGCACTAAATAATTAAAGTAAGTTCCGAGACCTTGGGTTTTTTTCCCCTCGTAGGGGGAAAAAGAGCTAGGCATCTGTTTTCAAGAGGGTCTGTTGATGTCCTTTAGCTTTTGAGAGTCCTGAGCTACAGCTGACCAAGGCTTTGACCGGTGTGCCATGGCGCTTTCCAGAGACCCCCGGGAGCTGGAGGCTGTCATGTCATGTTATCCGACCCTCAAAGCGCCTGAGAGGAGGAATACTGGCGCCTGTATGAACAGAACCCTTACCTAAGGCAATGGGAACGGCTCATACTGGAACTCAGCGCCAGCCGCTCGCTGCCGCCGCCCTTCACCCTCTGAGGGCGGGCGACGGACGCCGCTCGGCGGGGCGGGGCGCGACGCCAAACCGCTCGGCGGGTTTCTGTTTTTCCCGGCTGGAGCGA